TGTGTGTGTGTGTGTGTGTGTGTGTGTGTGTGTGTGTGTGTGTGTGTATGTGTGTGCGCGCGCTCACATGCGCAGCGAGAATAACAACAGTCGCTGTTCCTTGGTGAGCTTTGTCTAGTGTTCCTGCATGGAAGCAGAGCCAACGGTGCCTGCCTTTGGTTGGCTTGCTAAGAGTTTTGGGAAAGAGTTTCCCAGGCACTAAGAGACTTTCACAAGCTTTCACACAGGAAAGTACAAAGGAGACCAGAGCCAGCAGGGTCTGCTCATCTGCTGTCTGTCTGAGGCTCACCACACCTTGTGCCCCATGACTCTTTCCTCTGGGGCCTCGGCTTTGCCCTGAGTCGTTCTTTTTCATGCATTGCCTCTCCTTGCAGTTGAATGCTTTTCTGCCTGCTTCCTTGCAGGAAGTTAGGGTGAGGTCTCTTTGCCTCTTGATCCAGCAGCTATAAAAACATGCAGCCACTCTGTATATTTAATCATAGTTCAGTATTAGGAAAACAACAACAACAACTACTCAAATCTTTTGAGACCAGAGGCTGTGACTTAGAACACTGTCCCAACGCCTAGAAGATGCTTAGACTTCACTGTGTAACTGTACCTACCACCTTTGGTATTCTTCACATAGCTCTGAGGAGAGTGTCTACACCCCTGAACTGAGCCTGAACAGTTTCTTCCTTATCTCTCACAATATCTTGTCCGTACACCCTGATCACTTGAGCATCCCGCCTGGAATGCTCCTTGGACGCGGTTTCGTCAGGCACTTTGAAGGGGCCACCGGATGCAGCCTTATCGTTCCCTTCCCCCCCACTGCATCGTCAGGGAGCGCCTGCCCGCTCACCAGTCCCAAGGCCAGTCCCTCACACATTAAGCCTTTACTAGTACAGTGCTTCTTTAATCCTCAGTTTCTCTTTCAATAATTTCCATGTAGCAGGCCACCCCCAAATTTACAAATTTAAAACAGTTCCTTGGCAATATTCAATCAGTCTCAGCCAGGATAGTTGGACTCCATTCCACAGGACACCTGAGCTCTTTGGCTGGGCAAATTTTCACCCTCGCTCTGCATCTATGTTCATATCTACAAAATGGGGTGGTAAGACTTTCACCCCATGAAGTTGTCTGTCAACACCAAGAATACACATGTGTAGTACTTAGCAGTACGGCAGGATAGAGTAAGATCTGATAACGCTATCTTCAGCTTTAAGATTGAGTGGCCCAAAGCATGGTCTCATTGATTCCTGATCTGGGCTAAGAGTTAAAGATGTCATTACACAAAATTGGCAAGATCTCAGAGGTGATGCTCTCTTAGTCTTTATATTATCGGTAAAATAAACAAATCTTTTAAATAATATTGGTATAAATATGAGATGTTACCAGTACCCTACATTTACATACTAACTTTCAATAAAATTGACTAATTGAAACAATATTTAAAGCAATAAAACAGACATAAAACTTGAGACTTTATCTGCTATATCTGCTGTTTCTCCCTAGACTTCTGTGTTTTGTCTTCCTTCTTCATCAAAACCACCAACACCCCCCAATTTTGTGTGAGACAACTATTATAATTACAATTACTGTAGTGTTTTAAATCCCCAGTGATCTTGCCAATAAGTTGTTCAAAGTCGGAAATTTCATGACAGATAGTTAAAAGCACGTCTATCTAGTGGATGTTGCCACTGTTGGAACTGTGAGTGGTTCATTCAAATTTCAAACTCCCACAGCTCATTCCAGTAGTGTGGGTAGCAGTCTGGCTTATGAGCACATCTTGTTTGGCCAGATGAAGAAGAGAAGAGACAGTCAGGGCTGTCCTCAAGGCCCTGGTTAATACACATCAATGGAGATGGGGCATGATCAAGGATAAGGCGATTACCAGGGAAAGGGGTGAGGGATCATCCAGAAGTTTTATTAAAGAGAGGTAAGAAACTTGAGCATGGATGGAAGGTAGAGGATAGTGGGGGTAGGTCAAACTGGAGAACCAGAGAGAGGAGGCAGTATGGGGACCATATACTAGAGGACATTAGCTGAAAGCTGGGTTGTCAGCTGAATTTTCAAGAACAGCAATGGCCATGGTTGACTACAGAAAGATCTGTGTGATGAAGCTGAAGGGACACTTGGAAGGGAAGGGGAAGAGGTGCAGTTTGCCGGTGAGCAGCAGCAGGAGGGACAAAAGGAGGGCAGTAGCAAGGTGAGGGGCATGAGTGTTGAGCAAGGCCACAGTGAGATGCTGAGAAAAGGAGAAATCCGGTCAGGTCTGTATATGTGAAAAGAAAAATTTCAAAGACCTAAATGTAGAAGGGGAAAGAGAGAAGGGACTGAAAGCTATAAGGTGAACAGACATGCTTGCTGTCGACCATGGTAGTGCTGTCAGTAGAAAGTGTGGTTCCACAAGCTGGTCATTCCCAGACTGGCAAGGGGACACAGTCCAACAGTCCCGAGGGCTGGAATGGTTGGGCCATGATGTGTTTTCCCAAGACTCATCACACTGTCTGGAACTTAGACCTTTGCTCCATGAAAAAGTAAATGTCTGAGAAGTATATCCTGGATTTTAGAAAGACTTTTGTCCAACTGGTTTAATACAAGAATACTGATTCTTACTAAACTTAGCTTCATTCATGTAGAAAATTCATTTATATAAACCCCATCATGCCAGAGAAAATGAATATAGATATTGCCTCCTTGTCACTTAGGAAATCATAAGACTATGTCTCAATCAGTTTCACACAGAGCCTTGCTAAGAGACACTGATGGAGGAGTTGCATCAACTTTAATGGAAGATGCCATGAAGGAAAAGCTTCTGTATATATGTTTTAGAAAACCAAGGCCCCATTATCTGAAGACGTTTTCTTTCTGGTGGTTTTCATTCTCCCCATGCATCCCTGGAGGTGACCACATTAGATTGAAATTTCAGGTAGCATTGTGTCAGCAGGGATCCTACAGCATGGATTAGTGTCGCACTTTTCATGATGTAACCCTCATTTTGAAATTCAAGAGGGTGTATATAGTACACTCGAAAACCATTATAGTTTGACTTGCTTTTCAACTTCTCTAGTTATTTAAAAAAGTCAAAAAAATAAAACCTTTAAGGTCTCCAAAACATTTTTCTCTATTCAGATTTATTGTAATGAGGCATAAACCTCACAGTGGTACTCAGGTTCATCTTGAATCCAGATATTTATGCCATCCATATATCATAAAGTAAATCATCCTTATATCCAGCTTATCCACAGTTATTTTAAAACTTGATTATAAGTATGGGTCCTGTTGTACTCAGTGGTGGGTGTAAAATAACTTGATTGGAGTTGGGGTCCCACTCTGGTGAGCAGTGCCAAGCTCAAGGTTCTATCTAACCTCAGCACTGGATACAGAAACTATTGTGTAATTTAAAAGTAAAATGATGAATTCCGTAAATACCATGTATTATAGTTGGTAATATAATAAAATCAAAAGTAGCAAACATTGTAATTTTTTAACAAATTCTGACAGTGACATTTTAGCTCGGATAGTGTTAATATGCATAAAATGTCCCTACGCAGAATAGATTTGTTGGTACAGCTTCATACATTCATTTGTTGGCACTGTTGTAAACTGCTGTTAATTTGTGCCCATTTCTCACTGTGTCTGTTTGTATGCTTGTGTGTTTTGTTTTACTGAAGAATAAACCTAGGGCCCCAACAGCATTCTAGGCAAGGGCTCACTCTTCTTCTGAGCCACGCAGGCCCTCAGGCCTACATACCTGTTTCTCAGGAGTCACAGTAAGGAAAAGATGTTAAAGTGAATTTTGTTAAAGAAATATTTCATCTTCTTGGACTCCTAATTGTTTTTAAATGGAGAATAGAAGGACTAAAATTAGGTCAAGAATTTGTCTTCTTTTATAGTTGGTAAAAGCAATAATTTTGTTCAAATGATTTTACTAGCTGGCTAATAAGGTACATCTTTTTTTCTGCACAGGAACTAATTCCGGAGTTCTACTACCTACCAGAGATGTTTGTCAACAGTAATGGGTACCAGCTGGGTGTCAGGGAGGACGAAGTGGTTGTTAATGACGTGGACCTTCCTCCCTGGGCCAAGAAGCCAGAAGACTTCGTGCGGATCAACAGGATGGTAAGAAAATCAGTTTCTGCTAGAATAGGACTGAAGAAATTCACATCTTCTGTAGTCTTCTTTTTACTTGTTGCCAGGTGTCCTTAACATCTACAAATACAAGGTCAAAATCTTAGAAGCAGTGACAGGATTCAGCTGTAGTCTTCTGAGGGAATCCTCTTTTATAAAGCAGGCTTCTTTGAAGAGCGCTGATGAGGTGATATTTCAGTTCTGTCTGTGTGTTCCCTTGGGAAGAGGCAATCAGACAAGCGTCTGCTGACCGATGTCACACATTCTGAACAGTTTAAAATAAATGTCCTTTCCCTATTTTTGTCTACTGTAACCAGCACATCTGCATACTTTTCTTACTCATGGATGTATTCAAGACAGGAGAAAGCTATGCTTGGAGTGTTTTTATACATGGGAAGTTAGCTGTAAAGAACACCTCATGTTGTAATGCACCTAGCCTGCAGGAAAGCACCCATCTCACAGCATTTAAAAATTTCTCATGGCAGAGGTCCCAGTGTTCAAATGCATATGTAAATAATGTCTGCATGTAAGGACTTTCCTAGGTTTCAATAGATTTTACCATCGCTAATGAGATTTTCATCTTTGTGTGATTAGGGTACATGGGAGATGAAGCATGCTAGAGTACTAATAATGTTAAGAATTGTGACAGTGATGACAGTGGCTCAAACAAGCACATCTTAGCCCTGTTTGCTCACTCACAAGTCTCTTCACCTGTCTCACAAATCTGTTCTCTTCATGTTGGCAGTTGATTTTTAATCACATAATTTCCACACGACACAATAGGAGTCATAGGTCATGCAGTGCCCTTTGGGAAGAGTATTTTTGATATATATGTGGTGCATTGAATAATTCACACCGTGAGAGGTTTAACATGAGTGGGTTTGGCCTGTTCAGAGCAGTACAACCCTCCCCACAATCAAATGGGAGGCGTTTTGTCACTCTGTAAAGAAAACCCCAACAATCTGTTAGTATTTCACCCTGTTTCCCCAGCTTGCTCATCCCATCCAGACAGCCCCAGTAACACTGCCCCAGGTAACACTGCCTCACTGTGTCTCTAACCTTCTACCTCTCTGCCTGTCTTAGACATTTCGCAGGCGCAGTCCTAAGGCACAGCTCTGTATGTCCTTTCTATCCTGGGCTTTGTGTCACACTCTCAGGACAAATATCTTCTTTTACAGATGTATTTTTTATTTTTAAGAAATACTCAGCTTTTGATATGCTTCATTTTAAGGAATCCTTGCTGTTATAATAATCCTACACCTAAAAGCACCATATTGGGGCTGGTCAAGATGACACATACCTTTTAATCCTAGCAGGAAGAGGCCCACCAATCTCTATGAGTTCCTGGCCTGCCAAGGCTGCATAGTGAAACCCTGTTTCAAAACACTGTAGGATTTGGTACTTTCATTCATTTTTTTTTATCTGAGTTTGGAACAAATGTTCATTCCATAAGTTTTGTGCATGTTCCTTCTCATTTCTCCTTGAACAGTAGATTATTATTTGAATTTATACATAAGAAGTGTATACTTATAAAATTCTCTACTTACTATTTAAATGGATCATCCATTGACACCCTGTCTTTACATGCTTGAAAGTTGCATGTAACACCATTATATAGATAACAGACATGCAGTCTAGAAGCTTTTACATGTCATTGTGTCTCAGTGACATCATTCCTGGATGTCTTCACAGTGCAGCCCACACCTACTGACAGCTGAATGGTGAACACTTACTGAGTGAATGAACACTAGGGTAGTAGTTTTGTTGCTGTAAGCATGTGTAGTCTGGATTACTCTAAATTAGCGAAAATCAGTGAATCCAAAAAAGTAGCAGAAGTTGTTGGGCCAGAGTCTTTGGTGAGCTTGTTGAGGAACAGGAGTTGTTGTATGGCCTTAGTAGTAAGTGCCCTTGCTGTGTCATGCAATGCACTGATTTCTTTTCTTTTTAACAATCATAAAGTGTCCCATTGCAGACAGGAAATATGAAGGCCATCAGTGTTTGCTAACTTATTTAGGACTATGGAGCTTGGAAATAGCAGAGCCCAGATTCAAGTACAGAAAAAAATGTAACTCTCCGATCCCACCATAGCCAAATTGCTACCACCTTGTGTCAACTCTCCGTTCCGTAGTTCTGAGATTACCAGACTTCTGCTTTTAGGTTAGTGATTTGACCCATTTCCTTTTTCATCATCATGAAGCTTTTTGAGGCAAGCCAGTCACTGATCAGGATGGCAAGCATACTGACTTAGCATGGACTGAGGAGAAGGGGTTAGCTACCTGTGTAGCTACTGAATGACACATTCCCTAACCCAGAAGCATTTACACAAAAGCAAGCTGAGTCTGTACTAGAAACTGTATGCTGTGCTCTTGACATGAGGCTCTGTAGCCAGAGCTCACTAGAGGCCACTGCTGCTTCTGAGTTCAGACAAGGCCACATTTCCTAATGGCAACATGTCTTTCTCAGTGCCACACATTTTATGAGGTGAAAAGTACTTAAGAAAAGGGATTTTTTGAAAAAGAGGAACATTAAAAATATTGAGACTTTGAGAAGACAAGTTGGCAAAAGTGAGTGTGCTTCTGCAGGAAGAAAAAGGACTTAACTTTAAAGACAGGAAAGTGGCCACCAGTGTGCCATCTACCCTGCTGGCCTGGTGTCTATTCAGGAGGGCTCATTGACTGCGGTAGGTTGTGAAAAGCACAGAGACATCTCACTTTAGCATTTTGAGAAGCAATAATTGATCCAACATTGCCTTTTCATTGCAATGCTTTGGCCAAACTTCATAAAACAGAAAGAAGTCAGTAGACAGAAAGCCAATGTGTGGGCACCTCCATTAATTTTCACAAGCCTGTTTGTTGCATTATCATCAGCAAAGTCCAGACAGAGATAGATAAACAGAGCAGTGAACTACTCGGTTATAGTAAATTAATTGTTGAAGAAAATAGAGGAAGTCTGTACAGAATGCTCCTCAGAAACAGGAGTGCAGGCAGTCAGCAGTACTCAGTAGCAAGATGCTGTCTGTGCTGAGAAACCGGAGTGATAACAGCAGGCAGAAGGGTCACTGCTCATGAAGGGTTCTGCGCTGAAGCTTCCATAGAAGCAGAAAGCACTGGGCTGGCTCATCAGTCAGATTTCCCCAGAGCAACTGACCCACAGAAACTGGTCCTCACTATCTTGCCTTTTCCTATGCTCCTCTCTGCTGGTCAGTTTACTGATGTATTTGACTACAGAGATATTTTGAAACAGTGCTTGTAGAAAAACTTGTCTTTAAAAAAATAGTTCTGGAAAAGTGGGTCCTTAAAAAGATAGATTGTTGTATGTAAAAGCAGCCAGAGACTTGGTCCTCACCTCAATCAATATAGAATATTAGTCCAAATGGATCATTAACCCGAATATAAAGCCCACAACTATAAACTGTCTAGAACACATGTTAAGAATCAGTGGTTGTGGGTGTAGGTTAGGCAGAGTGCCCACAGGTGATACAGTCCAGGTGCACACCTTTAATCCCAGCACTCAGGAGGCAGAGGCAGGCACATATCTATGTGTCCAAGGCTAGCCGTGTCTAGTTAGTGAGTTCTAGGAGAGCCAGGGCTACACAGTGAAACCCAACCTCAAGAAAAACCAAAAAGTCAAGAAAAAAAAAAAAAAAGAGTACAGTCCAGAACAGAAACACTGATGGTAAGGAGATCACTAAATCTTCTTTGTTTTGAGCAGTGTTAAGAAAAGTAAGTGTAGTTCAGGCTGGAAAAGATTTTAAACAAACCCAGGGCTCAGCAGGTGAAAGGCTATACAAACCCGAGTTTGCCCCCCGGGACCCACAGACGGAAGGAGACAACCAACCCCCACAAGTTGCTCCCCTGTCTATCCACATGCTTGCTGTAGTATGTGCCCATGTGTGCCCACACATACACACGTGTAAATAAGTAGATGTAAAAACGTCAATCGAATGAAATACTGGGGCCTAAAATTTAAAGCAAATAGAAAAAAAAACCCCAATAATTTAAAAGTATTTCTTAAAAAGTGAGGGCAAAAGAATCTGCTGTCTCCCAAACAACCACAGAGATAGCATCTTCCTCCTGAGCGGTGTGGCCTGCTGGGTAGCTGTGCCCCACTCCAGAACCTGTGGTACTCAACTGTATAGGTAGCAAAGATCATTGCGGATCCCCTTGTGATTGTGTTCTTTGCAGTTGGCTTTTTTTTTAATCACAATCTTTGAGAGCCATCCTGCTCATGTCCTTGCTGTGCCCTGTGTGCACTAACATCATACTATAAATAATGTCAGCCAAGATTATTGGTCCATGCAGTAGCCAGTGAACACTGGAGTTGCTTCCTGATGCTGGCTGTACTGAGTAAGGCTGCTATGAACATTGACAGTCATAGCATTTTTCTATCACACAAGCTTTCAGCAGAGTGTGAGCTTGTGTATCTTCAGAATAGATACCTAGGAATGGGCTTTCTCACAAGCTAAATTATATTAACATTTTAGCAGAATGCCAAAGTAGCTTCTATAGTGGCCGTGTCATCTTCTATCCCCACTCAAAGAGTGTCACAGCTCCTGTCCCTTGTGCCTTCCCCCACTCATCTCCTGTTGTTTTAAAATGCAGTCATTCTAACTGGACATGAAGTAATAAATATACTTTTATAATTTAACTTATAGTTCTTGAATATAATGGCATGGAATACCGCTCTGTATGTTTATTACATGCTAAGACATTTTTATATATTTTGACAAGACAATGAGTAGTGACTTATAGATACAACTTATAGATACAACCTACTCTTCACTGGAGTAGTTTATATGCTCCCCGGGTTACTACTCTTATTTCAGATTTGCCTAATGGAGAGAGAGAGGTGGGTCCTGCCTTTGAAGACAAATCCCCAAGGCAAGCAATATCCTGCCTAAGGATTTGGGGGTCTAATAAAAGCTAATACTTATCTGGACAAAAAAACACCAGGCAATTACAGTTTGTAGAAACTAATCAAGCAAGGTGATA